TTGCTTTGTTATAGTCTCGATGACACATATTTCTTAACGTTGAAGTCATTAAAAATCTGAAAACGTCATATTCTGTACATTTTATAAAAATAAAATAAAAAAAAATATTTTTTTATTCTTGAGCTATTTGTTGCATTTGTTCCATTTGTTGCATTTGTTGTTCTTGAGCTATTTGTTGTTGAAGTTGTTCTTGTATACAATACTTTCACCAGTTGCATCTTCCAATTCGAAACTTTCTGCCGTCATTGACAAATACATAGGACATAAAAGTTTTACAGGAACAAAGTTTGCGTCAACTAAATTAAGTTTATGTGCCAAAGTGTTTGAGTTTACTAAGCTGAAAACTCTGCATTCGAATGAACAATAGGCAAACCAGCAGAGAAAGTGTTTGTTTATATACGCATAAGTATCTTTTGGTCATAGTAGTTTCTGTCGACATTCGAATAACACTTTGAACCTAAGTTTGAAACAATATATAAAATAGGTGTACTTAAAGTCAATGGAACAGACAAACCTTGTATGACACCTTTTCCTGTTATAGGAAACTGTTGGTAGTAAAAACCAGATATAAGTTTTGTATTATAGCTCATATCGTTTATACTAAACTCAGTCGGACATCCAAACATAATGAAACCTGCTCTAGTTGCAGCACATGTTACATCCGTCCTTAAAGTATTAAATAAGTCAACAAAACCTGTTGGTGGTATATCTGAGTAAGTATCTTCAAAGAAGTATTTTTTACCATTCACAACAACAAAGTCTTCTGGTGTCAAAAGAGCAAAACAGGCTTTAGTCGTCATCGTGTTTAAAGTTAGTTTACAATATCGTCCTTGAGGACTTTGTAAGTTTGTTGTTATAGAATTATATGACTCAGGGTTTTTAGTCGTAATAGTATAAACCACTATGTCTTCTGCCATTTTACTTAGCAAGTAAATTTTAATGAAATGTTGTGGTCGTCAAATATTTTTATGACGTCTGGGAAACTATATTTTAAGTTTCAACGTTTCACCTCCTTTCATAACGTATATCTTGTCAATGACATTATATGAAACACCAACAGCAACTAACGTCGGGTTCTATTTTCTTTGATGTTTATATCGTCTGCCTCTGTCAAAAGTTTCAATAGTTCTTTCAAAATTTCATGAGGTGCGATGACATATGAGTTCACTTTACAGGGTTGTGTTCGACCAAGTTTAACATTATACTAAAGCTTGACAAATCTTCTCCTGAGTTTTAAGTTTGTCTTTAAGTTGTTGGTAGTCGTTTCGAATATCTGCAACAGAACTTAAGTCTCTGCTAACTTCAGGATATGTTGGTTGTTCTTTTACAGGAACATTGTTATACCATCTTCGTCTTCGTATGGTTTCCCCACTTCAACATCTCTTTCTTTGACATTGACAACAACACTTTGACTGTTTGTTTGAGTTGGTGAATTTAACTTCACATCTGCCACCGCCATTAAACCTTTTGAAACACTTACGCTTCTATTTTTCGGAAATGACATTTTACTTAGAATAAAAATGGACGTATTTGAGTATCTCTTCGAATTGAAGCAGAACAAAGTTTACACACACAAACAATACAAATACATTGACAGAATAGTTCTTTATACAAACAATGGAAAATGTTATAGAATAGCAGTCTTTGCTGAACCAAAATATTTTCATAAAGCAAAGAAAGTTGGTATAACTGAAATGGTGAAAGTTCTTGAAGCAGACAAAAATATAACAACAAAACTGACCGATATTTCTAAAGGTAAGTTTTTAATACAATACTATGTCAAAACTGGCGTACTGTCAATATTTGACGGAGAGAAGTCAGTTCAAGAACAACTTACTGACCTGCTGCCAAAATCTGCTCGATGGAAGCTGTCGTTATGCCAATCTGAGGAGCCCCAGCAGGTTTCATCGAACGAATCTTCAAAAGAGCATCTTCCGTGAAAAGTGCTATTGGTTTTGTAAACTTCTTTGCTCAGTTCATCTGGACCGTCTCTGTCACCAGTATATTGTATTTGAACTGTACCAACAGTTGAAATACCACCCATAAAGTCTTCTGAGTCAGCAAATGGAATGCCAAGCCAAAAGTTTGAACGGTCTCCATTTGTATATTGAGTTTTTTGACCTCCTGTATGAGTCCATACTTTCACATATGGCATAATAGAACTTTGCATTTCAGGGTTAATGGTTGTTGTGAAGTTGTTGTTAAAGTTCATAGCATCTAATGTCAAGTTGTATGACCTCATATCCTCAACTGTAGAATATTCTTCTCTTGGATAATATTTGCCATCTATGTTTATATGGTATTTAATACCAGGGTTGTAGAAGCAAGAATAGTCATTTATAGTTCGTCTGAACAGTACAAACATAGTATCTGCATGTTTCATTGCAGTTGTTAAAGCAATATCTGTTCTTGCACCTGGGTCAGCACTTTGGTTTCCAACTTCACCTGCAAAGTCTTTGACAGATATTTGGTGTATAGGGAACATAAGTGGAACTGCAATATATTTGGCAGCTAAAGCATTTGAAATATCTGGGTCCAACATATAGACTGCAAGTCTGCTTTCTATTCTCTTGCATTCAAACTTTTCGCATGTGAACTTAACTGGGTCCCAAGCAGTTCCAGCAGCATTGAAATAATAGTTTACTTCAGTGTTGAGGTTTGAGAAACCAAAGTCTAAGTCAACTTTGTCTTTGCAAAAGTCGGCGAATGACGTTTTATTTGTCCTACTTTACTGTAAGAGTGAATGGGTCTTGTGTTGGTGCAATGACTAAGTTATTTTTGCTTGGAGTAAGTTCGATAGAAATTTTTCCTGCCCAGTTTGGCAAGTATCTTAAAAACCTGAAGATGAGGAAAGATGACAAAGGAACTCTAAGTTTCAGTTTTACTTTGGTTACTGCTGCTGCAGTTTGTCCAGAAAGGTCAACATAAACTCCTGGAACGTTAGGGTCAAGTCTTCTTATTTTCTCAATAGTTGCATACTGGTCTGTTTGTTCTCTAGCTTGTGGTTGTACTGAGTTTCTCAAAGCGAACCATTCATAGTTTGCCCATGTTACTGTTTGAACTAAGTCAGAGTTAGAATATATCTTATATCCCATAAAACTTCTGGAGCATATTGGTATCCGACATAGAAAATTCCATTGCAACCTTTCTTGTCAGACAACTTGGCAGAAGGTTTTATTTCAATGTCTTGTTCCACGTATAAGAATGAGTTGTCAATAGAAATAATATGAAACCTGTCGCAAGCAATATCTACTGTTGTTGAAGAACCTTCTCCAAACTCACCTACGTTTCCATATGAAACAGCAGTTGTATATTCGTAAGTTCCAGGAACTATTTCTGACCTTCTAATGGCATTGTCGCATTCGTTATACCATTCGGAAACATTTCCATTCATAGCATCCAAAACTGTTGGCGTTATATTCTGAGCGGCGTACATTTCATATGAGTAAAAATATAGAATAGTTGGATTTATATGTCATAATAGAACCCACGTGGACCAAGCTTTACTTTCTTCCTGACTGAGTTTTTAACTCTTCTTTTTCCTTCATTGCCCTCTGCTTGAAGTTGTTGCATCTTTGCATTATGTTCATCTAGTATGTTGCAAATTTCCCATGTCCTTTTTGCCTTTTGGCTCTGGTCGCCCATCTCAGGTAACCTATATCCTAGAAAGAGTTTGTCATAGTCTGTATTTGAGTCTTCGCGTATTGTTTGCATGACTCTTTCCTGAGTTTCTGGTTCAAGCTCTTCAAACAGTGCCTGTCCATATGGAATATGCTCGTTTCCAAATATATGTTTTTGTAGCCATTCTGGTTTTCTTTCCATGTTACCAACTATATCTTTTGTGAATGGGAAAGCTTTTACCCAATCTTTCAGTCTTGCGTCGTTTATTTCTGTAGTTGGTTTTATTTTGTCAAGGAACATGTTTTTCAATACTAACATTTCATTTGGTACTGTCCATTTGAGTTTTCTTAAATATTCATCCCTTCTCGGTTCATTGTCTGCAAAGTAAGTTTTTATGACATTTTGCAAACTTTCGTTTGCAAGGTCATGTACAATAGGTTCTCTTCCTTCTCTCTCCCTAACTTTCTTTCTAAACTCTTCACCAAATATACCATCTTTATGGTTCTGTGTAGTTCTTTGAGATAAATGTTCTAGAACGTCAGGTGTTATATTTCCATCAGCCATGTTCATTTCATACTGGTCCAAAATATCTGCATCTTTCATATCTTTCAACGGCATTAAAGCCGCGCTGAAAATACCAGCTATATCTGGTTCACCATTCACTTCCATTGCGTCTACAACTTCTTGGAATTGAGGTTGTAAGTTTATGAACCACCTATCCGAGTTAGCTTTATGACCCATCTCATTGTAGTTCCATCGTCTGCAGAAACAAAAGTAGGTTTGTTTCCATCTTGGCTAGGTTCTGAATGAACTTTAAACAATGTTTCATTTCTATATGTTTTCTTGAAATTTAACCTTTTATCTTCACCGAGTTCATCCGAAGATTGAACGTTAAATGCTCGTAAGTAAAAAGGGTTGTTGTATTTGTGTACATTTTCTTTCAGTGCTTCCATTCTATGCTGAATATTTTCATCTGGTGTTGGAGTCTTTTGTATGTCGGCAAACATTTTTCGATATTCTTCTACTATGTCAGCCGAATTTTTTTTAGACTCTTGGAAAGATTCCATATTCTCCGCATACTCTTGTTGAGGGTCAAGATTTTTCGGCTGTTCCAAATCTTCATCTAGTTCTGTGAAGTTAGTTTCCAAAGGAGTGACTTGTTCGTTTCCTTCAGGCTCTTCTAGCTGTTGTTGCTGAACTATTTCTTCCATGTCTGGTTGTATCTGAACTATTTCTTCCTGTGGAGTTTCTTGTACCTCATCTGCTGGCATTTCATATATTCCGAGACCGTTTTCAACAAGTTCCCTATTTAAGCCATCCGCATTCATAACCCTTTCTTCTTTCGTTCCGTCTCTATTTTTTACGCGTTTCATGAAGATAGTTGAATTATCATTTATCTCTGACACCAAATATCTTGGAGTAAATTCATTCATGTCATTTGGATGATATGCTATTAAATCATATCCCTTAGCGAGCTTGTATTTTCCAGGTTTGAAATTATATCCCATTTGGTGCTGAACCATAAAGCTAAATAGGTTCGGGTCAGTATTTCCTTCCTTGAACTTTCTAATAGCTTCTTTATATCTGTCACTAAAGTCAAGAGTATCTGGGTAACCATAATTTTCCTTAAGCATTTTTAAGAATTCTTGGTTTCCTTGTTCTCTACTTCTTTTATGTCCTTGCTCTGTTTGTGGTTGTTGTGGTGCTGGATTTTGAACTGTTGGTTGCTGTGCTGGTTGTGGAGGTGGTTGTTGTGCAGGGTTTTGAACTGTTGGTTGCTGTGCTGGTTGTGGAGGTGGTTGTTGTGCAGGGTTTTGAACTGTTGGTTGCTGTGCTGGTTGTGGAGGTGGTTGCTGTGTTGGTTTTGGTGCATGCCTGTGTCTGTGTCCATGTGACGATGTAAATGTTTTAGGTAGTCCTGGTGCAGGTGCTTCTCTTGGAGGGTTTGGTGGTATATAGGTTCCACTAGCTAGTATATAAGTTCCACCAGTTGGTATATAAGTTCCACCAGCTGGCACATATGTTCCATCTGCAGCATAATGTCCTACCTGACTTTTCGTTTTTAAGAAAGCATTTACTAGGTCTGTTTTGGTCTGTTGTAACTCTTTTTCTTGACTTTCCACAACAGTTGCTCTAACGGCGTCATAGGCACTTTGAACTGCCTGTCTCGTTGCTGCATCTGTTATTTTCGTTATATTTTGTGCTACTTCTTTTAACTCTTTGTCGAAACCTTCAGACTTCAGTTTCTTTCCAGATGAGAAGTCGTTCACTTGTTTCACCTTACTATGAAGAGCTTCGAAAGCGTTCTTAAAGTCAGCATTTGTTAAAGCTTCATTTGAACTATCTTCATCCGCTTGTATTTTTGTCCTTATTGACCCTATAAGTTGGGCTGCTTTAGCGTTGGCTTGGGCATCTAACCAGTCATTATTAGCTTTTATATATTCTGCACTTTTCATTGCCTTTTGCATGGCTGCGTCGTTATTTTTACTTTCTTGTGCTAAGTTTTCATACTGTACGGTTTGGTTTTGCAACTGTAAAAGTTTTTCTGCCTTTACATTTGCTTCAACTTCTTTTTTATACTCATCGCTATCCATATATGTCTTCAGGGCTTTTTGTTTTATCTCTTCATCTTTCAGTATTTTATATTGAGTAGTATGGTTTTTCAAATTTATGACATCTTGTTCCATTTTTGCTACTTCTGCTGCTTTTTCTGACACTTTTTCGCATATTCCTCTGTACTTAGTTCTTTCAGTTGTTCTTCTTTCTTCTTTTTCTCTACGTTTAACTCATTGAGTTTCTTTGTGTGTCTGTCATATTCTAGTTTCTTTTCGTTTTCACTTATTTGCTTCTGTATGTCTATGTTTGACTTTTTGACATCTGTTATTTGATTTTTGAGTGAACTCAAATTCATTTGACTTTGAGGGTTATATGCTGTTCCGTCTGCAGCTCCACCATAGCCTGCCATTTTCGCTAAAAGTGCCGCTCTTAAACCTCCACTCTGTGCACCAATAACTCGGTTTAAAAGCATAGGGTTGCTTGACATTTGTTGCAACATAGTGGGGTCATTCAGCATTTGTTGTTGCAACTGTTGTTGTGGTGTCAGTTTTACTATTGGATGTTTCAATGCTCTCTTCCTCTTACGTATATTCTTACGTAGCTTACGTGGCATTTTAAGTGAAGTTAAAAAGCGGCTTTTGACAGATGTTTATATGACACTTTCTACCCTCTTGAATTTTCATGAACTTTCTTGTCAATTTTTTGTTGAGACTTCTTCGTAAAGACTTTGTAAAGACTTTCTCATGAACTTTCTTGTCAATTTCTTGTCAATGTTTTGTAAAGTTCTTCATCGTAAAGACTTTGTAAATGACCCAAAAATATATTTTAGGGTAGATGGTTAGATCTAACCTGTTTTCTAACCTCTTTTCTACCCTCGTGAATTTTCATGAACTTTCTTGTCTATGTTTTGTAAAGTTCTTCATCGTAAAGACTTTCTCATGAACTTTCTTGTCTATGTTTTGTAAAGTTCTTCATCGTAAAGACTTTCTCATGAACTTTCTTGTCTATGTTTTGTAAAGTTCTTCATCGTAAAGACTTTGTAAAGACTTTCTCATGAACTTTCTTGTCTATGTTTTGTAAAGTTCTTCATCGTAAAGACTTTGTTGAGAAAGTTCATGAAAATTCAAGAGGGTAGAAATGAGGTTAGAAAACAGGTTAGATCTAACCATCTACCCTAAAATATATTTTTGCCTGATTTACACTCATTGACGATGAAGTTTTGTAATGTTCTTCATCGTAAAGACTTTGTTGAGACTTCCTCATGAACTTTCTTGTCTATGTTTTGTAAAGTTCTTCATCGTAAAGACTTTGTTGAGACTTCCTCATGAACTTTCTTGTCTATGTTTTGTAAAGTTCTTCATCGTAAAGACTTTGTTGAGACTTCCTCATGAACTTTCTTGTCTATGTTTTGTAAAGTTCTTCATCGTAAAGACTTTGTCAAGAACTTTCTTGTCTATGTTTTGTAAAGACTCTTCATCGTAAAGACTTTGTCAAGAACTTTCTTGTCTATGTTTTGTAAAGACTTCTTCATCGTAAAGACTTTGTCAAGAACTTTCTTGTCTATGTTTTGTAAAGACTTCTTCGTAAAGACTTTGTAAAGACTTTCTCATGAACTTTCTTGTCTATGTTTTGTAAAGACTTTGTAAAGACTTTGTTGAGAGTTCATCGTAAAGACTTTGTAAAGACTTCTTCGTAAAGACTTTGTAAAGACTTCTTCGTAAAGACTTTGTAAAGACTTTCTCATGAACTTTCTTGTCTATGTTTTGTAAAGTTCTTCTTCGTAAAGACTTTGTTGAGAGTTCATCGTAAAGACTTTGTAAAGTTCTTCTTCGTAAAGACTTTGTTGAGAGTTCCTCATGAACTTTCTTGTCTATGTTTTGTAAAGTTCTTCTTCGTAAAGACTTTCATTTTATACTAAACATCAACGGGGCTAGAAGGCACGAAGTGCCTGGAAGCCCCACTACCTTTTTTTTTTTTTTTTTTTTTTTTTTTTTAAATATCAAAAAATATCGCTAATATACCTTCCCACACTGAAATATCAAAAAGGAAAAACCAAAAATAGGAGTTCTTGGAGTTGAACCAAGATTTCAGGATTATAAATCTGAACGTTTGATGTAAGAAATCTTACTATCAATACTAAAGATTTTATCTGCGCTCTCCCATTGAGCTAAACCCCTTTACATTTAAAATTTGTCTTCCTGCATATATCAAGGTTTCATTTTCGTCACTTTTAGAGATTCAAACATGTAATGAGTTGTACATATTCTATTTAACAGATGCTTTATTTGAAGATATGTATTATGGCATGTTTTGATTTGATAATATTTTATTTCGAAAGATAATATTCTTTATCAAATTAATGTCTAAATGCAAAAACAATTTGGAAATAGTAGATTATGATTGAATTATGCATTCTTCATCTTGAATGAAAATATATTTCATTGACAATAAGCGATATTCGTTTTTGGAATAAAAATCTCAAATGTCCATAAGCATACGAAACTTCACTATATGTATTTAAATTAAAACAAGAGATATCAAAGAATCATAATTCTCAAATAAACTGGTATAATGTCAGTAAAATGCAGGATTTAATATGGGCTGCATGTTAATGCGAAAAAACATCAAAATTGAGTTAAGCTGCGTGCCGATAAAAGTTGAAATGAGCGGATAGAAAAAGCACGTTATTTTGGATGAAATGTGTAATTGTTATAGACCGAAAATAGATTTTTTCGGTTTTCTCTTCAAATAATTGAAAGAATGATACTATTATAGGTTTATTATATTATATAGCATATAATCATGCTATAGCCGAAAATTATAAGTTTTGAGAAGATTGAATATAACACAAATAAATTTGAATGTAAGTTAAATTGCTTGTTGTTTTTAATAGGCATTTAATGAGAAATCCAATATTGCAAAATTCAAATTGAATGATTGAAAGAACAGAAAAAGTCATTCTTTTCAATTTCGAATATGTTTCATTGTATTTATAATTATACGGCAAATAAGATATTTAAACTTGATTTTTGAAGGAAAATTCACAAAATTGAATAAATTCAAATAATTTTTATTCAAAAATAAACTAGTTATTTGAGTTTAATACTAATTATCTATTCAAACTACAAAGTTTGTAATTTAAAATATTTTGTGAGATCAGATTGAATTAATTCAAGGTTCTTTTCAATTAATATTAATGACCATATTACGCATTTTCGAACATTCTAAACCAAATATATAAAAATGGGAGACGAATGTTAAATTTGCTAGACATGGGGGAGTTGTCTGCAAAGTTTTAGCTCTTATCTCTAACAAAAAATTAATTTTTAAAAAAATGACCGAATACGTTTCACAGCGAGAAAAAAATAAAAGGCAAGATAGAATTTTCTAGACATAAAGAAGTTGTTTACCGAGTTTTAGCTCTTATCTCTAACAAAAAATTAATTTTTAAAAAAATGACCGAATACGTTTCACAGCGAGAAAAAAATAAAAGGCAAGATAGAATTTTCTAGACATAAAGAAGTTGTTTACCGAGTTTTAGCTCTTATCTCTAACAAAAAATTAATTTTTAAAAAAATGACCGAATACGTTTCACAGCGAGAAAAAAATAAAACTTTACACTGATTTTAATTTTCATTTCCAGTCACTTTACTTATTTTTTTTTATTTTTTTCATTTTAATTATCAATTTTTTCATAATACGTTTATTTACGTTACCATTTTCTTTATTCTTTTGAATTCCATACTACACACTTATAGAATATTTTGATTGTTAACGTACTTCATTAGAATGAATCCTTACAAAGGGTATGTCGATCGAATTTACCTAATTGGTATTTCCAATCAGATTGAAAAAGGTAAAATGACATGGGAAGAAGCTTGCACCCATGTTCCCATCGCCCCAACCCTTCAATCAAATGATTTCAAATATTTAGATGTTTCAAAATCTTTTTTACAAAATCAATTTAGCTTACAGAATATCCCATTGCCTAAAGGCAAGAAAGGTCGTAGGGTCAATCCCTACGACCAAATCAAAGCTCTTGCTGTGATACATGACCACTGGGCCTTTCCCTGTGGTCAAACAAAACAATGGAAACGTTTGAAATTACAACAAATTGATGTATCTTATAGAGAAGTACGCAGATACTTCAAAGAAAATCATTTCACCAAGACGCGATTAGAGCATGCCGGGCCAGAAACAGCAGTAAGATATTGGGCGCTTTCACCCAATCTTATCTGGCACGCAGATGTTCATTATTTTAGGGGTGTTCGTGGCCAGTATATTTATGGCATAATCGACGATTTTAGCCGCAAAGTCCTAGCGTGTATACAAATA